AGTGAAATGAGGACACCACATACAAAATCATGTCATACACTGAAAACACCAACAACTACTAAATGGCATGTTCTCTGCTGAAGGTAAAAACAAACTCCAAACCAAAAAACACAGTGAAGAGCTGTGAGGCATTAAACCACACAGCACAGAGAGGACTCTTGAAGAATCACTTTGATCCACTTTTGGTGGGACATAAGTACACAACGTGTATGCTATAAATAAATATTGACAAAATATTGACATTTCTCTCTGTGAGAAAGACACTTCAAATAAGTTTGTGGGGTTTTCAGTTCACGGTATTTATATAAGAAAGCTAAAGTGCTGGCTAGCCTCTACATTAGCAATATTACTGTAGTTTTGCTTGCAGCTCTTTTTTCCTTTGTGGTTTCCCATTAAGAGCTCTTAACTTGAGTTGCAAGGGTTGTTAGTTCTGTTATCAAACAGAGGTCAAGGGAAAGTCATCCTTGTCTGCTTTAACGTCATTCACTGATTTCTGCAATAGGAACATGTTAATTCAAACCTCTTTTCTTTTTAAGGTTAGGGCCTTCAATGCAGTGGTATTTTAACACTATACTGTGTAACACTGTATCTTTCTAATTGATATATACACATTGATATACACACATATATAAATACTTTCCATGTGGAATTATTCCATGGGAAGATACAGAACAAGGATTCCTGCACTCAGTTGTTTTTTTTTTAAATTTTACTACATAATGTTCATCACCTACTTTTAATAAAAGGTACGAGTGAATCACGACATATAACTACTACTTCATCACTATCTATAATCTGAATAGTTAACAAAAATGTTGCTTAATGTGGCTATTGGTAGGCATTTACAACCTTTCAATTTAGCACTATTTAGACATGTCGCAAGGAATGCAGGAATACCGTATTAAAARGGTTCTTAGATTGTTCTTGCAGTTTGAAGAGAGACCAAGTTTTTCTTCCCAAAGTTTAATTCTTCTCATTGCACATACAGGGGGTCAAGCCTCACCTGAAATTGGGACTSAGTACCTAGCAACACGTATCCCAAGGACTGATCCCTGGCACAGGGGACAGCTTGCATCAGCATTATTTACCTTTTAAACTCCGTAACAGGCTGATCMCATCCAAAGTGCCCACCAGAAATGATACCTTGCCAACTCCTAAATTGACCACAGGCCAAAATCTGTGCCAGCAACTGTTCTAACAACTAACTGTACAGATGACTGAGCTACAGTGTCCCAGAAAATTTTCTGGCACTACCAAGTATAGTGACACAGATGTAGTGTGACAGGCTTAACATTAAGTCTTTAACATACTTATTATGGTCTCTCCTTAGTCAAAAAATGTGATTCATTCAACCCTTCTTAACCACCTTCTTTAGGATGAAACAATCTCTAAATGAGTTTTTGTCTCCCAAATTCTGACTAAAAGATGCATCTGACATCTCACACCACTATGGCTATTAAAGCAAGAGCAAAGTGTGGATTTTTATGATGTTTAGGCTCGGAGACATATTCAATGCGGTACTAGCAAAGCTAAAGCATGGTCCATGCAAATAAGAAATACATTTTACATGTTTTCTTGTCAAGTGTTAGTCGTCTCTTGTTCCAATACAAAACAAGGTTGAAAACACCTCTTGTATTTAATGCACAGTGAATTTTATACAAGCTTGTAATAGTCATAATCCCCATGAAAAAACACAGAGTTAAAGGCATTTTGGCCCCCCGTGTTTTTTCTCACCTCCAAGATGAAGRTGTTGTAGTATGGTAATGCCTTGAATAACCTTTGTACAACACCATTGAAGAGTGACTGAGACTTTAGGATAGCCAAGAACAAGTAAGCCAAAAACTTCTGCAAACAGACAGAATTTGATCTACAAAATGAGCATGAACAGCAACAATTGGTAAACAGAAGCTGCTTTGCAGTTGAGGAGTTTAAATGGATATGTCAAACCTGCTTCCCCCTTGAATTTACTGTACATCAGTACATTCAAGATTAAGTTGTGGGAATAATTAACAAAGGTACATCTTCTGTTAAAATCTTAGAAGTAGTTTTCTAAGACTTTTCAGTAATGGTGAGACTTGCTCAGTGTGCACATAGGTAGCATGTGCATTTTATMATTTCACTCTTGAGGTAACTAGAGTTTCATTAAGCTCCTTCAGGTTTCCATGTGCATTTAAGATTAGTTCAATCTACAAATTAAAAATCCACCATTAATGCTAGTCTCTAAATCATGATAATAATTCACAAAAATAGTGCCTCAGTTCAAAGGGTTTGCATCTGGTGATTAATAATTTGAAACAGGGTAACCAAATTTTGCATTTATTTTTTAATATTGGGATGTTGAGAAGTACTAGATCTTTCATAAAAGCATATAACTACTTCCCTTTCCAATACTTATCTTTATTTCTCAGTCTTTAAAAATTAGTTTACTGAACTTTTTCAATTTGCATTTTCTGTTCGTTCAGTTACAGAAAACAAGTGAATTAAATAACATTAGAAATACTGGCATTTCAGTATTGTAGCATCTTGGTGGAACACAGTCACTTTTTTTTTTGGTATGATGCTCACTGATGTGTCCAAGAGTCAGTCCTTATTTTCATATCCTTCTTCTCCCACTCTGGCTATTGAAGTCAATCACCCCTTTTAGTCAAGGCATAATGAATGCAGAGAACACAGTTCATGTTCCACTTGGGGTTCCGATGTTTCCARTTTACTGGAAATACTATTTTTAAAGGGGTAAGTATTTCAGGGCCATCTATGATTTTAGATGCTTATAACTATCACCTTTTAAAATATGAGATTTAACATGTCTTTAGTAAATTCTACAAGTAATGTACTGGGAATCACTTCTTCATTCACTTGACACGTTATCTACTTGATATGTTTGCAGTCTAATTTGTTATTTAAGAATATGAACAAGGAAAATTTTCTGCCACTTAAAGCCACACCTCAATTCCAGCCAGAAAGAGTCCATGGTCATTAAAAAGCTATCAGATAAGTACTGACTACTTCCCCAATGAAGGAAGGAACAAAACCTCAAGGAAACCTGGAAAAAGAAGTACATAAGTTACATGGCAGAATTAGAGCTGGAACTGGCAGTCATTAAAAGTAACAGAATAAAGGCAGACACTTAAGAGCAATGAGGAAACAGCAAGTAAGGGCTGGATCAGCTAGCTAGTCACTGTATACTGGTAAACTAGGGGCCAAGAAAAAATTTGYTGGGGTGGGAGAAAAATTAAGAGCAGAAGAATGCTGGAGCAAACAGTATTAAGTRAGAATTATTCAGGGAACAAGCTGAATCTTAAATGAATAATTCAAATCYTCTTAAGTCATTTATCCAGGTCCAAAAATGCCTGTGGTAAAGAAAGAAATCTAAACCATTACTGTGGGTTTTACATTATTGGACGGTCACATTTTTTTCATTCAACTTCAGAGGATAAAAATTATCTACAAACTCAGCATAAATGTTGACCTTCTACAACTAGCTGGCATGATACAATGACCTACAGCTCTTCTTCACTTCAAGATCTTAATGTATTTTTATTTTTTAAAACCAAAGCACAAGCCCCCCCAATACACACACAAAAATCAACCTTCTTGCATCACTTCTGCAGAGCACATTTGCAGTTTATCAGTAGTTTCATTTGTTAAGATCAAGTGAGGTGAAAGGCACCAATAGAACATTCTTTAAAGAGAACCAGACTAGTAGCTTATCTTAGGTAAACATACTGTCACACGGGAGAACAAACTACTTATATYTGTAAGGCCAGCAAGTGGACATACTACGAAAAAAATTGAAAAAAAGCCCTAGATAAAACTATGCAAATACCTTTGTCCTTGTRTACCCTCTAGTGGTTGTCGAAGTTGTACCCGCCTCACAGTAACTAAGCAGGAAACTTCCTCAAGACAGCACCAGTGGGCTTCCCTTTGCAATACCTCTCTTAAATAGATGGAGATTCATGTGATAAGGTTCTGAGCAGGCAAAAGTATAAATTATTTGGAATTTTAAGTTTTTAAGTTTACAACCTTACACCTTGTTAGTTTAATGCAGTAAATCCAGTTTTCTACTTAAAAAGCGCCAAGATACATCGAGCTATTCATGCAGCAAGCATTGAGGGCAAACGCCTCTGTAGCTCTGGCATACATCCATGCTGCATGCACACYGCAGCAACATCACTAAGTTGAGTATTAAGTTTCCAGGAATCCTCTGAGGCAGAAAAAAATCCGATACACAAGTTGCAGAGACAACATAAAAGCCACTTATGTTTCAAGCAGCAGTCCAAGACTATCGTACAAACGTGCTTTAAGCTGAACTGGCTGTTTTGTCTGTAYGTGCTGAAGAACTGGATTACATCAGGGACAAAAACTGTCATCCAGCGCAAGAACATTCTGCAAGCAAACAACTAACATTTAATTTAGTTCAGCTTAAACAAACATAGAAGATTGTACAACAGACATTTCAAATAAACTCACTAAAAATCCCCACCCGTCACACCCAAACTCCCCAATAAATAATAGCAAAGGTCAGCACTCCAGTCAAGGTATCAAGATGGAAAAAAACCCAAGTCAATCCTCATTGCTGTGACTTAGCAAAAGAATATAAATTGCATTCTATTTCATCAGTAGACCATGCGGTGAAACGCAAAAATTAGTGAGTCAAAAAGAGAATATATGCAGTAAGTTTTTAGCATCTCTTATCTATTTCTTCACGATCTGTAGATGCAACAGCTAGTTGCATCATTCTACTAAAGATGCAAGTCATTAAATAGTGTCAGAAAAAACACTTAAAAACTGCTGAAGAGCTCAGCCTTCAACAAATCACTACAAAATCTGTGCAAGAGGGAAGTATTTTGAGGCGTCTCATGATGCTGTGCCATTATTAATGAGGTACTTACATTACCAACATGATGAAGACAAAAGGTGGAGTAATTAGACTRTATACCAATTGCTAGGTATCACAAGAAAAAAAACCCGAAACACTGTCTTGAAATGACATGAGATAATGCATATTCAAGATGGAAACTTTATAAAGAACAGCATGCACACAACAGACGTACAATGTGTCAGAAGTAAACTGAACTCCTGGCTAGATGTACAACAGACATTACTTTTAATAAAAAGATTCTCTTATCTTCAGTACAGCATATAGACAGAGCTGTCCTGTCAGTCCTCCTGACAATTGGAATAGATTCCCTTCAGATACAGCAATTAGAAAGTCAGCAGCAAGAGCACTGGCTCCACTCTACAGATGGCAGATGCTTTTTCTGTTTTCTCAGGTGTTTTTTCTGTACCTCAAACGTACATTAGAAAAATGCCATGGGATCAGATAGCCTAGGCAGCTCTTTGCTAATGGTATTCACCCGCATCATGTGTTCATAGGCAGCAACGCAAAAATCTTTCTGTGTTTGTAACTTATGTTAGTTCTTTTGCCATTTTTGTAGAAAACACCTGCACAACTCTGTTGCCGGTCATTCATCCCCAGGCCTGAGTTTTGCAATAATGCAGTACAAGCTTGCCATCACTTCCAAAACACTGCAAGAAAAACAAAAAAACAAGACCTGTTACAATTATTCATGGACTAGCATACGCACGAAACAAAACAAACAAAAGCCCTCCCATCATATAAACGTGTCATGGAATATTTTTATGAGAAAGTTCTCTGTTACAATGAGAGGCAAGACAACACACTGCACAGGAGAGAATGCATTTCCTCAGACTGCATTTCCTGAGACAGCTCCTTGAATCACACTCATACAGATCTATGAATATCAACCACACTAAATGAAATGCAAGCTATTACTGCTAGAGGCAGTAACAGATTTCAGGTGYCAGAGGCATACTGGAAAATTCTGCTGAATACATTTGGAAAGGATGTTTAAGATTAAAGTTACCTCATAGAGGGTCCCCACTTCTTGGTCTGGAGATGGAGCAAAAGACTGGTTTACATATATGAACTGCAAGAAAACAAGAGAAAAGATATGGAGATCTCACAGAGATCTCATTGGGAGCAAAGAATCATTCTGCAGTCAAAAGGTCTGCTATAATCTTTAAGGATATAACAGAATACCATGAGTTACTATCTTCACTTCAGCGTGGAGGGGTAACATGACCATGAGGGGTCACCTCTGTCTGGACAGCCAGATCAAGCCAAAGTAAGCGTGCTGATTTCCTTTTCCTGAAAGCTGACCCATTTCTCTCCCATGCAGCAGCACAAAGTGAACTCCCCTGTTTAGCTGTTGCTCTTATTTCAAGTATCCAAAACACTTGCACTATTCCAGATTTGCTCCATTAGAATAGCTGCCATAGAATCTAGAAACATTTTGTTCTTTTTTCAAGTCATTCTCGCCACTTCCTGCTCCAAATGTATTTACACACATAGAAGCCATTCTGTAATGTCAGAGGGCCTTGGGATCTGCTGTGTGAGGTAGCAGTGGGTACTGGAGTATTATTTGTTATTTCTAAATAAGAGATATAAAATTCCTAGAGCTTGGTTCTTGAAGTACRGCTTTAGGCTTAAGCCACACTGGAAAGCTATGTGCTCCTAGTTTTTTCTTATTCTGAGACAATGAGATGATGGCCACTGAATTGTCCTGTTGAGAATGTCCTTAGTTAATACCTTACCTATTACTCTTGAGATATTAAACCATTGAAAAGCAAAACCCTTATCAATATCAGGTGAAGGGGAAGGCTAGTGACTTTATACCTATGTAGCTAAATACAGTCCTCCAAACCAAGAATTATTTCAGCCACATTTTAGATGACTACTTTAATAAGTATAGCTTTAACTGTATACCTTAAATAAAAGCTTTGAAGATGTTAAGAGTTCACTGCAGAAAAACAAAATCAGTGCAATTGTATTTCCAGCTCTTTCAGTGTTACACAACGTCACTTGTCATTGGCTTGTCATTTCTGTAGGAAGGAACCCATAAAAAATACAGGCAACTTGCTGCCCGAGGGCAACCACTTGCCCGATACCCATTTTTGAAAGCAGAATCAGTCCTACAATAATAAGTATACTGTTTGAGATAAAAGTTCTGAAGGAAACAGACACTCAGATTCAGAAAGCTGATCCCAAACACTCTGGAATTTTTTTCCAAATATKCCATCTCAATATTCAATTCCTCCAGGTAAAGGGTGCCTAGGAATATTTCCCTARGATGCACTACTGCCCAGTGTGCAACAGCTCTGCCGGGCAGCATCAGACACCAGAAAATACAGACACTGCAAAAGGCCCACACATCAGGGCTGAGCACACCCAAAACACGCTGCTACAGCTCTCCTTCATGTTACACCCTGGTGTCCACCTGGAATAGTTCTGTCGATGCTCCTACTCCAAGTGTCCTACTGGAAGCTGTAGCCTGGATTCAAACAGCGTCTTTGCAGCGTTTGTCAGCGTGGGCTCTGCGCGCGCAACTACCCCTGGTGCCCGCCCGTACCAGCTGCTCGGAGGCCATCAGCTTGAGAAACTTCTTGATGAAATCCACGAGTCCCTGGATGGTCCGGGTCCGCTCCACCGCCCACTTCTTGGTCCTCATGATGGGGGTGTCGCCCACGGCCTTCAGCAGCACATCAACTGCGGGAAGCGACGCGTCACAGTGGGCCCGCCCCTCGCCGCTGATTGGCCCGCACCGCCCGGTCCCACCCCCCATTGGCCACCGCGCCCGCCCGTCACCGCGCCCGCCCGCCCCGCCGGAGGCCTCTCGCCTCAGTACTTTTCTTTTTCGCGTCTCCCGCGGGCTCCTCGGTGCTCGGCGACCCGGCTGGAGGCGGGCCCGGCTCGGCGGCCCCGGCCACAGTCCCGCCCTCCGGGGCCTCCTCCCCGCCGTCGCTCCGGCCACCGCTCTGCGCCGCGGCGGGCGGCGGCTGCTCCTCGGGCTCCGCCATGATGCCGCTGCTGGGCAGGCGGCGGGAAGTGACGCCACGCGACGGGGGCGGTATTGGCCCTGCAAGGCGTTTTGTCCCTCGTGGGACGCCACCTTCCCGTCACGTGACACGCCGGCGCGTCAGGGGTGCGCGAGTGTCCCGCCGGCACGGCCGCGCCCCGCCGTTCACGTGGTGCGCGCGCCCCGCCGCCAGCGCCCCGAGAGCGGGACCGGGACCGGGACCGGGGTGGTGAGGGACGGGAACAGGAGAAGGGACGAGAGGAGGACGAGGAGGAGGACGAGGAAGGGAGGGGGGACACAGCACAGCTCGTCCGGCAGCCGCCGCCGGCCGCCACCGCCGCCCCACCATGATCAAAGCCATCCTCATCTTCAACAACCACGGCAAGCCGCGGCTCTCCAAGTTCTACCAGCGCTATGTACGGGCGGGCCGGGGCTCSGCGGGGCGGCCGTGTGAGGGGTCGGGCCGCGGATGGGCGGCGCCTGTCTGGGGSTGTACGCGGGGCCCCCCGGCCGGGCCGGTTGCGATGGGCCCAGGGCACAGCCGTGGGGAAAGGGACGGTGCTGAGACCCTGTACGTGAGGCTTCCATGAAAGCCAGCGGTTTTTTTCAGTGGGATTTGCCTTTTAGTAATTCCGAAGGTGCAGGCGGGAGTTGAGGGACGGGGGGGAAGGAGGGCAGGCTTGATTCTCCAAGCTGCTGTGTGGGAGCGCTGCTCTCAGCTCTGCTGTCCGGCGTGGTGCTGCGTGTCTCCGTGCTGTGGCACAGCTGCCAGAAYGGGAGAGATGAGCTCTTAAACAGGACCGCTTCTTTTGGAAAGTCAGTGTACTATAAGAATACAGTTGACATGAAAATGTATTGAACTAGAAAAGTGTCTTCTTTTACATGGTAGAAGGCAAGTAGCAAAGCAGCGCTGAAAATGCAGCACAAGCACTCAATCTGAATAGAAAGAAAGGGCRGTGAAAGCCCTTGATTTAGTTGGGGTAAGAGATTTTGAAGTAATATTTTGCAGATACTGCTTTTCCCAGCAGACATGTCGAGGTCTGCTTGGGCATTAAAACACAAGAAAGCAACTGGTATTTCTTCAAGTTATGTAAACAAATTACTCTTTTTCAGTAGTGCAATTACTTACTTGAATTAATGGCCCCTTTCCTGGCTGTTACAGAAGTCATACTTCATTGGAAAGGATGTATCTTACTTGTACACCTCAGAGCAGAAATGATGACTGTGGCACTTCAGTTTGCGTGGTTTGACTTTGAATTAAAGGAGTGTAACTGATACAGGTCATTCYCATGTGTGACTGAAAGAGAAGGAGTGGACTAAATGGCCAGAGGATACCAGATTTTTCTTGTAAAAATAAGATCTACTAATTTCATAACTGGACTTTCATAACAAATTCTCAGTGCTTAAAGTAGGGAAACATGTTTGTATTAACAAAATACTTTGGAGTTTTGAAAATGTGAATAGCAAACGAAACTAAGAAACTTTGTGGTGCAATCATCTAGATTGTCTTTTTATGTGTTATTTCAATAGCGTATATTTACGTACCTTTTGAAGCTTATGCATTCTTTAATGCGTACTGAACCAGTACTGGAGGCAAATCTCAGTTTTTTTTCTACAAGTGGGAAGATCTCCTGCTTTCTAGAGAGATTAATTTGGTCAAATCTGTGAAAGAGGTATTTATTTGTTTCATAATACCAAAACTTAAGAAATGTGTCTTAACATTTTTAGCTGGTATATATGAGACTGGAAACTGCATAAAATGTAGTTAATAATATTTTGCAGTTAGGTAGAAAAAGTATAATTTGTGGCAATTAAATAGGAAGATGTATGTAATAATTTCATAGTTGAAAATACAGACCAGTGGCCATAATTTCAAAGTTAAAAATTAGGTTTCTAAAGAGTCAGAAGAATTCAGTCCCAGAAACAATGTTTCTGATCTGCTGAGAATTAAGGTCATGGCTTAGGAGCACCTGTTGCTCATGGTGCTCTTGTGTTTTAGGCTATTTCTAGAAGTGTTATATACTGTGGAATTTTTAGCTGCCCTGGGCCCTTCGGGCTTTGGAGATTTTGTTTTACTCTCTGTTTATGGATGAAAGTAGTTTCAAAGCATGCCTGTAGCCATTCAGGCTGTGTTAAAGACATAAAAGATTCAGAATAATGAGAACACTTCCAGTTTACTTAAAAAACCTAGTTTAGGTTCATTTTTTACAGAAGTTTCTTAAAAACTAATTTTTTCACATTTTTCAGTAATACATTCTTCTGCAACTTGTAAGTATGTCTTTTTGTGTTGAAATGATGTAAACGATATACATCTTGTTAACTGGCAGATTTAAGGCTTCAAAAAGAAATAGTTTGAGAGTGCTGCTACAATTCATGTTTTATTATTACTGTGTGCTGTGTGCTGTCAATCCTTTCAGCAAAGTCTATTTTCTTTCACAGAGTGAAGATACTCAGCAACAGATTATCAGAGAAACTTTCCACTTAGTATCAAAACGTGATGAAAATGTCTGTAATTTTCTAGAAGGAGGACTGTAAGTATGAATAAAATAAATGTAAAAAGTATCAAAAAGTATMAACTGAAATAAATGTGCAGTACTTACCGAATTCCAAGTATTTTTACTGCTGTTTGCAGTATAACTTTTCACAGCTGCAATGTAAATGCCATGTCACTTGAAATTTTCTTATAACACTCGGAATGGTATCATGTTGCACCAGGTGTACATATTCAATAAAACTGKTTTTTTTCCTAGTCCTGTGATGGCCACAGTGCCATATCTAGTGCAATGACTGTTTCAGATACAAAGATGGGGAAGGAACAGGCAGATGTTGTTCTGCTATAATCAAGCTAAAGATTTCTGGTCMCATTTTAAGAGGCAATGACATTTGCAATATTCACTGAATCRTAGAATCAGAATATTCTGAGTGGAAGGGRTCCAAAAGGATTGTTAAATCTAGCTCTTAAGCTAGCAGGCTGTGCAAGGATCCACAATCCACAACCTTGTTTTTAGCAACATGCTCTGACCAACAGAGCTAAATTTTTAGAAAGCTAAAATATTGTGGAGCTGTTGCTTTGGCTTGAACTAAGATTTGAGTGGACAGCCTTTCATAGGAGGATTCCTCTGCGTTTTTAGCAGGATCTGGGCTTGTTGTATAAACTAGAAAGAAAAAAGTAGGTTTCAAATGTGCTAACTAGTATAGTTTCAATTAAGACATTTTATTAATGAAGAAACCTACAGAAAGGTAGGAGGAATGTCAGACTTGTTTATATCTCTTTCTGTCTCAAGTAGTCTGTTTTGAATGGGCTTCATTGTTTTTGAAAGTTGTCTTGCTTTAGTGGAAGAAATTCTGAAATAGRCCTGTTTTATTTTGATGCATTTATTGGCCATCAAGAGTAAACAGTTGAAAAGCCATCTTCTAGGAAAAGGGATCATAATGGGTGGAATAAAAATAAGCTTATGATCTCCGATCTATGAGATAGATTGTCATAGTCTGCTAAGTATTATATGTATGGGAATTTCTGGCTGGTGAAAGCTAGTCTGCTAACACCTAGATTTTCTGTGTGCAGTCAGTTAAATGCTTAGCTGTACCATGTCAGCTATGACGTCTTTTTTCTTGATCAAAATGATTCTTGATTTTTTTTATAAAGGTTTTTTTATATTTGAATTGTTCTTTTCCAACTACTCAACTGATGATTCTTTCATTAGGTTCTTGCAGGTGATGTTAAATTAGAAACATTCTGGCTTGAATTCTGTAAGTGAAAGACGACTGACATTTGGAGCTTTTAAAAAAAAATCACTGATGCTTAACAAAACTAAACTGAGACAGAACACAATTTTGGCTTTCCTCCTACTGCTCGATCCTAGGGCTACCATTTCAATATTCAGTATCTTTTTGCAGAACAGGTATCACTTTGTAGTTTACYGAAAGGCCTCAACAGTTTATGTGTAGAGCTAGCTGTGTGCACTTCAGACATGAAGTATTTGAAAGAATTGGGTAAATAAATCACAACAGAAGAATATTTAATTGCCATTTCTTTTCAGTTTCCTGTTTGTTTGTAGTAGTGTTGTCTGATCTGTAATTGTAGTTCCGGTTGTTCAGAAGCAAAGGGTTCTCCTTCCCTGCCCCATCCCTRCTCTCTGCTAAGGGCCTCTTACAGTTCAAAGCARTGATCTGATGTAGATGTCCTTTGCGCCTCTTTTTGGAAGGCTGTAGCAGAAGAGTGGGAGAGCATACGTCTTTAGACCTCTTCTCATTCACTGCCATGATAATTAGCGAGTCCATACAAATATAATTGCTTCTGTGACTGTAACATTGCATCATAAATGGTTGCTTGTAGTACAATCCTACTTCTCCAAATGTTTTCTGACACAAGTGTTACATTTTCTTGGTTATTAAATGGATCATAAACCTAATTTAAGGCTTTTTTGGTAATCCCAACCCCAGTCTTCATTATAGTTTTCTTTCTCTCTTGATGCTTCTCTGAGAAGGTCAGGGAAGGATTCATAGGCATACACTGTTAATCTCTAAAGCAGGTTAATCCCTGTCCAGTACCTGCCTATTAGTGTGGAATGGAAGTATGTTTAATACCCCTTTTTATGATCTGTTTGAATTTGTTTTAATAAAAGGGTGCACATGTTGATGTCATTATTGTCCATATGGGTAACAATGACTGTGTTTGTGTGGTAAATGTAAGTTGATTTGTCTTGGTACGTAGCCTTTCACTGGAATTATATCACAAAATAAAAGTTGTGATTTAGTTGGATTTGGGRGAGCTCCAGCTGTTAACAACAGGCCTCCTGTTAATTGAAATAACTGTGAGGATTTGCCCAGCTTTTCCTGAGATGCTGACTAAGCTTTCCTTGTATTGTTTCGTCTTTAGATTAATAGGTGGATCTGATAACAAACTAATCTACCGACACTATGCCACCTTGTATTTTGTCTTCTGTGTGGATTCCTCAGAAAGTGAGCTTGGTATTTTAGACCTCATACAAGTAAGTTTTCTTTGCTGTTTCGTGGGGTTTTCTTTGTTTTCTT